TTTTTTTTTTTTTTTTGTGATATGATCAAACTATTCTATACTGTTTTGTGCCTGCGACTAAATGCAAAGCTACTTTACTCAAAATATTGATCTGCAGCGCATTCTAAGTTTATTCATGCTACGCTGGAGCTAATTTTTCATCCACTCTACAGTAATACATATATTGACGTATTTACCGATCCGTGAGCAAATGTTTGAGCAACTTTTGACGCCATGCTGGATTGTCTTGAAATTTTTCCAGGCCTGACATTTCGACTGCGTTTTTTGTTTATAGGAGGTTAACGTATATAAACACAAATAACAATGTATTACACAATGAACAAATTTGGAAAATTGGAAATTTACTCACATAAATTGGGGAAGAAATTATAATTGCAAAGGACAAATAGCGTTCGTGCAGCTGCCTCCGTTCAAATGAATCGATCATCGACGAGTAAGCATCGACGCGCGGTAAATTGACGGGTAATTTTAAAATCGATACTTTAGGCATTTATTCTTTAGGGCTGCAGAGGTACGAACAAGTAGTCAAAGAGTAGGCGAAAAACAATTTCATTTCTCTTTTATTTCAATTGATAATCTTAATAATTATAATAAAAACGAAAATTCAACAACTCATATATGACGGAATTTCTGATTAATTAAACGATAAGTTCGGTCATAATGTGGTGAAGAGTTATTAATTGGTGTCCGTGGACTGTTGATGTCGCGATCGCTCAGTGTACTTAAACCCAGGCTTTCGTCTTCGATGGATATCATAATATTTGTAAACTGGAAAATTCTAGACGACTCCCTAGATCGTGAAGGAGTTGATAATTTAGATATATGTTGATCCTCGGCTATTTCACTCGGCTTTCCAATTGAATCAAATAAATTTGAAATTTGAGTTGCCTGCTCAGGATAAGTTTCATTTGAAGAGAGCGGCGAGTCCGAAGAAATAGTAGAATGTAGTGTTTTATTGACTTTCATTTTGAATACCAGTTCATTAAAGTCGCTATCGAAATCCATATTATAAAAAATAGGCAAGCGAAAAAACTCGGCTCGTGGATGAAGAAACGATAATAAAAAGTAACTGTTCTTTATCGAAACATGCCGGCTATTTATTTATTGTGATTAATCATCGAAGTATGTATCATCGATAGCTATGTTATCAATTGGCTTTAAATGCCGGTGCAAGAAGAAGACACATAGATAACAAGTGTTGTTCGTAACATAAAAACAGTTGTAAATGCAATAGATTAAATTAAATATGAATGCTTTACGACACACAATTTCAATCGTGGCGCTGGGCACCTTTCAGCTTGGACGCCGCATGAAAAGCCAGCATTTGCATGGACTCCTGCTTGGCACTGGGCTTGGCCTTTCCACCATCGCATCGGTCACGTACGCACAGGCCGAAGCAGCAAAGGTCAACCGAAAGTTGAACGTATCCAAATTCATGGCTGAGCCCATTACGGACTCAGCTGTTTTGTTGTCCGATCAAGACAATATGCGCCATCGCATGGAATTGATGATCATGGAGATTCAAGCTGATTTTTGTCGTGCACTCGAATCGGAAGAGTTCAATGGCCAGAAATTCAAAGTGGACCGCTGGCTGCGCAAGGAAGGTGGTGGTGGCGTCACCTGTGTCCTGCAAGACGGCGACGTTTTCGAGAAGGCTGGCGTCAATGTCTCGGTTGTGACCGGCTCCCTTCCACCAGCGGCCGTTCAGCAGATGCGGTCAAGAGGCAAAGATCTGGCGGAGAACGTTAAATTGCCATTCTTTGCTAGCGGCGTCAGCGCTGTCATCCATCCGCGTAATCCCCATGTGCCGACCATTCACTTTAACTATCGTTACTTCGAGGTGGAGTTGCCCGATGGCTCAAAGCAGTGGTGGTTCGGTGGCGGTACAGATCTGACGCCCTACTACTTGGACGAAAGCGATGCCCGCCATTTCCATAAGACGCTGAAGAGCGCCTGCGATGAGCATAACACCTCCTACTATCCAAAGTTTAAGAAGTGGTGCGACGACTACTTCCACATCAAGCATCGCAACGAGTCGCGTGGCATTGGAGGCATCTTCTTCGATGACATCGACGAGCCCAACCAGGACGGCGCCTTCAAATTCGTAACCAGCTGCGCTCGTGCCGTAATCCCATCGTACCTGCCGTTGGTGCAGAAGCACAAGAATGCGGACTACGGTACCAAGGAGCGCGAGTGGCAACTGCTACGACGCGGCCGCTACGTGGAGTTCAATCTAATCTATGATCGTGGTACTAAATTCGGACTCTATACTCCCGGTGCCCGCTACGAGAGCATCCTAATGTCCCTGCCGCTGCACGCCCGTTGGGAATATATGCACGAACCAAAAGCTACGTCCAAGGAGGGTGACTTACTAATGGTTCTGCGAAATCCGAAGGAATGGGTTTAACTTAAATTGTGTTATATTTTTATTTTACTATTAATGGGATTGGTGCCTTTCATGATAAAGTTTTGATTATAGAATAAGAATTGACAATATTTATGCCCGTACAATCTATTTCCGTTAAAAATTAAAAAGTTTAATTTTACGACAAAGACGGTTGAGAATTCTCTATTTTTTACTCTAAATTTTATAAATTTATGAAATTTGAAATCGATTTGTTACTTATTTTTTAATCCCTCCCTTTCAAACACAACCATACGTACATTTAGTACGCGATGACGTCATATATTCCATATATGCATTTTGAGGTTATGTTTGGTAGATCTTTACTATTATGCCGAATTACAGCTAGATTTTGAGCAGATAGTATAATGCCCATTTCATTACGTATTTCCACCCAAATACGTATATGTAATAATAATGAACAGTTCATGTTTTTATCGTACACATGGACAGACATCTGTCTGCTTCGATTGTGTATGTATACTCGTTTTCACACACACGCACACATAAACGCAGTTGCTGTACTGTACACGAATTGTGTCCGTGTGCACCAACAACGCTGAAACATCACACAACACACATACATACACGTTTGCACCATGTTACAAGCACTTCTCGTGTGTTTGTGTGCGTGCGTCCAAGGAATATAAAGCGGGAAATGCGCGCCATCGTCAATTTAGCCACCAATGCCAATGAAAGAGACAAATTTCTTTTATGAATCAATCTTAAATCATAGTTTACAAAATGCTTTATTTTCCAGTTTTTTGTTTGTTTTTGTTTTGTTTCTTTTTAGCAAATATTTAGATGTATGTTGGGGACACTTCCTTTAGTTGTTTTCATTTCATGTGTATACAACATGAAACGGAACAAGAACAGAATTGATATTTTTCTTTTTGTTTATTTATGTAGAATAATGCTCGCTTATTTATTGTTGCTTCTGCTATTGCTGTAGCAGTTGCTGTTGGTTTTGTTGCTGCTTTTGTCGTTAAAATGAAAAGTAACTAGCTTAACTACATTCATACAAGTATATATTTAATAAACACCGCCGGTCTGCTGTTGGTACACCTCGATAGTATCGCCCTCCTCCATCTCTAGTGAGGTTGGGGTATCGTTCTCATTGATGGGCTGGCCGTCAAAACGGAAGCGCACCACCTGCATGGAGAGTCCGGCACGGTCGCAATAGGCATTCATTAGTTTTCGCAAAGGTGTGTGTTTCTTAATTTTAAATTGGACCACCGCATTATCCTGGCCAAGTACTTTCAGATTAATGTGCTCAGTTTCACCTCCCTTCTTTTCGTCAGACATGTTTCTTTTTTCGCTATGTATGCGCTTCACGATATTCACAAATGTAAAATGCAATAATGCCGGGCGTGCGTGCTGTACATTAAATGTAAAGAATACGCAGAAATTAATGAATATTCACCATTTATAATATATTTGTTGTTTTTCACTTCAAAACTACAACTGAAATTTAATTCTTCTTACTTTTTTATACGTTTCACCACTCGCTTCCCTCTTTTTTATATTACCAAGCGGCTTGCGCTAGCTACACACACGCCAAAAAATGGTTGTATTTTGAGTGTTTCCCTATTCGCACACGGCAAAAATTACTAGCAAAATAATACACTAAAAATTACCAACGACGCGGACTGACAGTGTTGCATGTGTCAATATTAAAAATAAAAAAAATGGGGACAAGCAAATTACAGAATATTGTTATATTCTTTTAATATTAAAAAAAATATTATTATTAGTGAATTTTAGAAGTCATATCTTAAAAATTAGGTAAAAAAAACATAATAGAATTATTTTGTTCGAAAGTCCTCAATCACTGGCCAGAGAACACAGTTGTTCCTAAGCTTAAATTTGAATGTGCCAAGCAATTTTTCACTAAAAAAAAATATATGTGTTGTATTAGTGGTATTATGGTAGTTAATTTTTTTATAGTTGGTTGATTTGTTTTTTATTTCGTCGATATATCAATTATCATTTTTTTAGTATGATTCACAATCGATAGCAAATTTATCGGCGCATAATTTAATTTTTTTTTCGAACCAAAATGTTGCACAGAGTATCACTTCCCGATTGATTAATTTTTTTTTAATTTGCCGATTATATTGTTATTAGAAAATAATAAAATGAATACTAATTTTATTAGCTTGTATAAAATACTTTATTTTGTTTTTGAAGTTTTGTTATAGCACATCAATAAACTTTTTAATTTTCGAGCAACAATCATTCAAATGCAAATTCAAAAAGTCCCACATATGCATTGCTTAACACTCCAAAAGAAACAATATATTTTGAAAATTGAGCTCCGAGGATCCACATAAATGAATCAAAGCTAATTTTTGAACCATCTGAACTCTTTTCATCATTTCCCCTTAGATTATAGTTCTTTTTGTTACAGTTCTTCCGTTTTTCACCTTATGCAGATTATGTTCTACAACATTTGAAACACGTGAGAATACGCTATAGAGGGACATTTACCAGTTATAGGCGCCAAATAACGACCAATAACAAACCTGATGCCGTTTCAGAATATATTTTTTTATGCTTATCCTGTGTGTGTGGTCCTCTAGAACAGGTGCCACACAAACAATCACCAAACGAAACGTACTTGAAAAGATCGAGATCGAAACATGATTACAACGATATCAACTTGATATATAACCATTTCTATGGGGCATACCTCATCCCCATCAAGATCAAAGAATATATACTTCATTAAATATATATATTCTTTGGATTCTTGTTCAATTTCATTTTGACCAAATTATGTCTTTGGAAAGAAATCTTACCAACAAACCAGCTCACTTAACAACTTACAATCGTCAGATATTTCGAAAGAAATTGAACCGGTTTGAACTTACTCACAGACCCAGGTTTGGATAGAGCTATGGTACACCAATTGAATAAGCGGAGCCATCACGTTTCTAGTGTTGGCCTAAAACGGTAAACGCAAGGATTAGTGAGATTTGTGTAGAGAAGAATTACCTGATTATTCATAGGTTTCTAATGGGTCAAGGCTTTGAGTGGTTTTGTTTTTTTTTTGTTTGTTTTTTTTTTTTTGTTCTGAGGGATTTTTTGATCTAATTTATGTTTGTTGAAATACTTATGATTTGTTTTCACACTCTGGACGTATATATTCAATATACAGATTTTCAGATTTTCAATATTGAAAACTGCAAAAAATAAAGAAAACAAAATGGCACGAGTTAGCGCACAGTTTTATAGTAGAATTGTGTTTTGTTTGTGATTAATTTTAAACATGTTTTAACCAAAACAAACCAATCAGTACTCGCTCGGAATCCGGATAGTCTCATATATTAATATTTACCATATACCATATACCATAGCATTCCCTTATACCCCCTTACCAAAGGTGGGGAAACAAACACATGTTGATCTGATTTATTTTTACTTACTCTTCATTTTCAATTGTTAAGATTTACTTACATATTTAAACGTATTTAAGCTATGCACAATTATTTTGTTGATTTACGTTTTTCTTTTTTTTTTTTTTAGTTTTGTTACTGCTTTTTTTTGTGTTTTGCTTTCAAGATTAATTAAAAATAGCAACTGAAAGTGCTTTTTTTTTAAAACGGACTTACAGCTTGTCTTACGCATCAATGATTCCGAACTTTTTTTTTTCACTGGCTGACTCGCTATGAATTTTAAATTTCAAATTGCAATTGAATAAATAAGTAAAAACAATCGACGTTATCGATTGTGCCAAATAATGGATTTGTTTTTTTTTTAATAATAGTGTGTTACCAGCGCAGGATTACAAGAAACAAATTCTGAAAATTGTTATCGTACTCGATTACCAATTGATTATTGCTGTTCTGTCGATGGACAGGACTCTCACTGACGCCACCAAGTCGGATCGCTGGCATTTTGGCCACCATTATCGGGATTGTTGCTGCGTGGAAGTATCGGCGGTGGAGGCACGCTAAACATATTATGATGAGTAGCAGGTGGCCGATACTTCTCCTCATTCTCATCGTCCAGTTCACGTTTGATGGACGTGTTTTGATAGTCATTCATCGAATATGTTGGATAACCGTCATCAATAGGCTCCTCCTTGATCTTAATCATGTCCATTTCACGGAAATCTGGTTTACGTTCCTTGACATCGCGATCGCCGCCACCACTGCGATCAGAGCCTCCCCGATCCCTATCTCGTCGCTCACGCTTGCGCTCACGCCGTTCGCGAGATGATTCCCGTTCGCGTGACTTGGAGCGCTTCTTTTTCTTCTCACGCTCACGATCGCGATCGCGGTCCCTGTCGCGCCTGTCACGTCGTCCATCGAAATCGTCATAGTCACGATCCCTGCTACTGGCACGACGTTTTCGTCGTTCGCGCGACCGGCTGCGTGAGCGACCGACACGTGCGCCGCGTTCCCTATCGCGTTCTCTGCGATCTCGGGAGCGCGAGCGTCGCCTCTCACCGCCCACAGCTCCGCCGTAAGGAGCCCGACCGCCACGTCCATCGAGACCATTGTTGGCCCCGCCACGAACACCACCCTCGCGATCCTCACGCTCACGTTCCAAGCGATAGCGTTCACGCTCACGCTCATTGTCCTCGCGGCCGGAGTGCTTGATGTTCACATCATTGCCACCTCGCCGTGTGCCGCCCAAGCCGCCGCCCAGTCGACGTGGCAGCCAGCCCTTAACGGTTCGAGCACGCTCAACATCCACCAGAACACGCTTGCTGTCTATCTTCTTACCATCGGCGTGTTTGTACGCTGCGTGCATGTCCCGTTCATGCTCGTACTCAATAAAAGCATAGCCCTTGGGTTTACCTGGAGTACGATATAGAATACAACATATTTTATTTAAAAATTATTCCCTTAATCATTAAAGCATAATTAGATATAAAATAATGCATAAAAACATAATTTACCTGACTCCTGATCATGAATAAGCACGATTTTTTTGATGGGCCCGTAGAACTCGAACTCGCGCCTAAGTTTAGACTCGGAGGTGTCGTAGTTTATGCGCGCTACGAAGAGAGTGCGGAATGGATCTTCTGTAGCGTTTTTAATCTCAGTTGGATCCCACAGAGCAATTTCACGTTCCAGTTTATATGCGACTTGTTCAGCCTTTTCGCGACGCCTTCTTTCCAGTCGCTCTTGGCGCGTTTCCACTGTTTTAGGCGGTGGTGTGTCCTTTGGGTCTTCGAAGTCGCTCATGAAATTGGCTACGCCCAAATACCCTCGTGATTTTTTTTCATGTGGCAACTTGTCCACCGGCGGCATAAACGGTATTGGATCCCGTGAGGCGAATAACGCCAAAAGGTTTGGCGGTAGATATTGTGTCATTTTGTTAATATATTATTACCTTTGTCTCCGTCGTTCCGTCAAATTTAGTGCTAGACATGGAAAAATGAGGTTATGTTACACTTGTTTACGGCAGAGACGGATTTAATCGATTTACATACTTTTTGATCCATTCAGTATATATATTTGGATTATTGCTTGGGAATTCAACAATCCCAATTGCAATATCCGTAGTTGTCAATTTCTGCTCAATCGATTTATTGCAATTAATACTTATGAAAAAAATATTTTTTCTTGTAGCGCAGCTAGTAGGTACACAGTTACTAAAGATGGCATTATGCTAGAGATGTGCAATTCCCTGAGATCTCACAGTGATAGTTATTTTTAAGTATATGCGACAATGTCTGGTTAACTTTAATAATTTGAAAAAAATCATAAAGTATTTTATTTATTTTTAAATGCATTGATTGATATAAATTAAATTGCATATTCTTTGTTAGTCCATATTCCATTATATTTTACTATTTCTATTAACTTTGCAAAAGTTCAAGTTTCCCCGCTATTTTAAGGGATGTTTTTCTATAATTTTTCTGTTATCGATAGCTCGATATAAAACACTGGCAGTCCCTGAACTTCCTTCTTGATTTCTCTTTGGTTCACGACTTCAGTTCAAAACACCCACACAAACATTACACACACATGCATCCATTAGCCGGCGCACGATTGAAAAGTCAAAATAACGGCATCTACGAACTCGCCATAAACGTGATTTCATTTTGCAATATTTAAACTTACACTTTGCATTCCGGTTTTAAAGTGCTTGGTTATTATTAAAACTATTTTTTTTTTAATATTGTAAGTATGATAATTAGTCAGGACAAAAAAATAAACAAAGATATGAAAATTATTAATTGCAATCAAACAGAAAATGTAAAAAAATTCAAAGCAAATGCTCGAGGCTGAAGAGATCAAAGAAGAAAATGGCGCTGGCGCTTTAGAATCAAAGCAATCGCCGAAGGAGCAACGCAAATGTAAGCGAAAATATTTCCTTTTAATGGATAACGAAACTACTAGTAGAGAAGATTTCGAAGAAAAAAATATTCAGCAAGTGTTAACACCTGTTGAGAAGGCAAAATTCGCCATGGCCCCACCGCCGCCGCCGCCCACTCCTGTTCAAGCGCCGTCACGATCAACGTCAGCGGCAGCATCAACAGCATCGCCGGACACTGAAGATGATGAGGCGAATTCGGAGAAATGGGAAGATCCTTGTGCACCACCCCCTCCGCCACCGCTGCCAACAAATGCAAAAGCCATTTGTCAGCGATATGTCAAATTGACGGCAGTCAAGTTAAAAGACGCTCTGGAGGAGGCCATTTCGAAAATGGAGAGCAACAAGCGGGAGCAGCAGCAACGAGCGAATTCCGATGTGAGTTAAATAGAAAACAACAAAAACGCGAAAATGACAAATTTACAGTTATGTACAGTGCTTTCTAGATAAGTTTGTCGATTTGGTAATATTGCGTATCAAACAAGACAAAAATATGACCAATTAGAATTTTCCATATCTTAAGCTTGGTGCATAACGCGTAGATTTTACATATACATATGTACATATATAAAAAATATTTGAAGCATTAAAACTTAATATTTTAGGCTATTCTTAGGTATTCATTGTTATGAGTATAATGATACACATACGTATATCCTTTTTAATTCCTTAAAAAGGAAAAAACCATGTTCTTAAAATCATCTTTTTCACTTTGAAACGTTTATTGGTATTCTGCATCTTCACAAGTTTAGTTTGATCAAGATAGCTTTTATTTTCCTATGTACATATGTATGTCTCTGTATGTATATTTATTCTGGTTTGATTATTATATCTGTAACTCTGCAGCTGTTCCAATTACTTCATTTTTTTTTTAAATCTTACATTTACTAGAAAAACAATAGGAGCCCTGTTTTATATGCTCAGATTATTGCAACAGTTTTCTAAATTTATTAAGTGTATTTCATTCATTTTTATTTTGTTAACCTCAATAGTATAAAATATTCAAAATATAGTTAATGTTTTTTGAAAGAGCTGCAGAATCAGCAAACTGACCGTATACAGTACAACAATCGTTTGACTTTAGAAATTATTGTTTTGGAAATGACATTAAAATTAACGTGTCTGAATTTTCGCTAACATATTCTTGTAGGAAATTTCGCTAGTATTGCTAATTTTGTTCTAAACTTCATATTTATCCCTTTTTTTTTTTTTTTTTTTTTTTTTTGCAAATTTTGTTGCTGCTGTAAATGGTATTGCTGAATAGTCCGTAAAACACGTTCTGCCTGAAGTTAAATCGGATACTGTCCAAATGTCTCCCACGTGTGCAGTGAAACGTTCGGTTAACCCGATCACAGCCATGATTGTGCATCCGAAGTGCAATAAGCCGGCCGTCATCCGTAAACTGGAGAGAAAGATGAAAGTTGGCAAATTAATGGCCAAACAACTGCAAGCTAAGAACTCCATCATCTCGAAGGACGCCATACCTTTGCCGCCAGCAACAGCCCATGAGGATGAGGCTACTCAGGGCCTGATGACAATGCAGGTGTTGTCGGCACGCGCTTCAACACCTTATACACAACCAACCAGTCTGTTGTCTTGCGACTTGCATTTGAGTCCACCTACAAACCAAGGCAAGGCCATTGCCAAGAAGCAGCTGCCTCAAATGACCGAACAACAACAGGCTAATAGCCAAAAGCTACGCAGTTCCTCGACCGCCAATGGCCTGAACAATCAGCGTCCGTCGAAGCTACGTAACACCCAATCGGCTGGCGTATTGCCTGCCAGCAAATTGGATGGACCTATGCATCATTATAGCCGTCAGAATCTGTTGGAGATTCGTAATGCTATGATCAATGCGCTGATACATCGTTCCAAGGAATCACTGACCTTTAGCATGCCACGCATTGCCACCTGCGATGACATCGAACTTGAGGTGCGACTACGTCGCATGAATCTGTGGCGCAATGCAGACGGAGCATCCATTGTGCGCGGCACCAACAGCTTTAGGCCACGTGTCAATCTCCACAATCCCAATGAGTGCATGCCTGCCTTCTATAAGAACAGGAACAAGCAGCAGTTGATCACCGATGAGTCTATCATACAGAGCCAGCCACCGCAACCAAATCAAGAATTTCAGGTAAGCTCTGCTCTCATTTTATATGTACATATATTGCTGTACAATATGTACATGTATTCATCTTGAAGGAGTATATTTTCCTGCATATATATATAGTAAAAATAGCTAATCTTCTGCTCTTTAATCTGATTGCATTTTGATAAGACTCGACGTTATGCCAAGTATTTATATATAGATAATGTATAATTATATATTATACATTGTACCTATGATTATTGGTAAACTATATTCGATATAAAGAATTCCTTCTATTATATAGGTCCCAATAGTCTTAAGTAGGAAGTCTAAATTATAAGCAGTCTCTAGTCTCAAACAAATCATATTTAGTTCGTTTAGCAATTTTTAAATATAAAATTTGATATACTTTTCAAGAGAAGATTCCGATGTTCAATAGCCGGAGTAGATCGACATAAATTCTATATAAATTATGACTAACATCATAAAGTATTTAAATACTATATACATATAGCATCTATATACATATGTACATCATATAAACTGTATACACACATATTTAGGCATTCATACAAGTCAACTGAAGTGTTATGTAAATACGTTGAAGGTGTAATCTAAAGCCGGCTCAAAGTTTTACTATTTACTGATTAGTTAGTTAGTTCAATAGGAATTAGTTAGTTTGTTCAATACAAATTTGTGGTGTTTTAATTTTAGGTTTAACTTTAATTTTAATTTTTTTCTTGCACATTTGCAAATGTGCATTTTAATTAGCTCAGCTGGAAATATTGAAATCATTTGCTCAGATAGTGCTTTGTGCCGTCCGAATCCCTCAGTCGCTGTGCCGCCTGCTCCGGTGTTAAGTCTCGCTGTGCCATCGCCAGCAGCTCGAATCCGACCATAAATTTGCGCACTGTGGCTGAGCGGAGAAGGGGTGGATAGTAGATGGCATGGAGTGTCCAGTGGGCGCTCGAGGCGTGCGCATGCTCTGGCCCAGTGGGCGCACCATGCCAGCCCATCGAGTAGGGGAAGGAGCACTTGAAGAGATTATCATATTTGGTGGTCAGCTGCTTGATGGTCACTGCCAAATTGTGGCGCTGATTGTCGGTTAGATCGTTGATCCGTTTATTGTTGTTGCGCGATATCAGCATCGTTTCGAAAGGCCAGATAGCCCAATAGGGGACCACGACCAGCCAATCGGGATTCTCAATGACAATGCGTTCCTTGCGCTGCAGTTCCCGCTCCATATAGTCGCCCAGCATAGGCCGATCGTGGGTGGCATAGTAGGCGCGTAATCGTTCCTGCTTCTGCTGCGGCTCTGTGGGCAGGAAAGAGCAGGACCAGATCTGGCAATGGGGATGCGGATTCGAGCAACCCATGGTGGCGCCTTTGTTCTCGAATATCTGCACCCAGGCATACTTTCCACTCAGTTCATTGAATTGCCTAATCCATCTAAAATGTATGTAAGAGTGTTGAGCGAAGCGTAATAGGGATTATACTTTACTCACTCATCAATAACAGCACGGATTTCCATCACACTCATGGTTGGCAAGGTTAAATTCGATTTGGGATGGAAGCACATGACGCGACAATTGCCACGCGCTGGCGCTGCTTGAAATAGGGGATCGTCGCTAGCGGGTGGCGACGGCACCTGCTCCAAGAGTGCGGGGAAGTCATTGTCAAAGACATAGGTGCTATCATATCGTTCCGTTATAATGCCATTGGGTCGCTTCACGCCCGGGCAGAGCGGATTAGTGGGATCAAATTCGGGTTGTTCGTTAAGTTGCGGCTTTTCCTCCTGCCCAGACCAGGGTCTCTGCATGCGATGCGGACACACAAGCACCCACTGTCCATTCAATGGATTGAGGCGTCGGTGCTGGTGTTCTACATAAATATAAATTTAAGTATATAATTTCTTATGTCAAAACTTGTATGTTGGGTGCACTCTAGAAATGTTATCAGCAGCAGATCAGCAGCGCTCCGCGTCTCACTTACCGGTAGCCACAAACTGCATTTTGTCACTGCTGCTATCACTGCATTCACCTACTGCGTAGGGGTTACCGCTGTTATTGCCTATTTGTAATGGCTGTGGTTTACCGTAATCTGTCGCCCGCTCGACGAATGGAGTCCACGGGACAGCACAATGCCAACTGGCGCTGGCACCGTTTTAGTTTTTGTTTTTGTTCATCTCCGACTAGCGCTTTATGCATATGTATGTACATATGTGATTATGCACGCACACATGCATGAATGTGTTTCGCCAAGCACAATTTTCATTTTACCTACTCTCCCTTTTGTTTTTTCGCTCAGTTCGCTTAGCACGCACATTCGCAAGTTTACTTGGCGGTTTATCAGCTCACGCTTGCAATCTCTGTCTCTCACACAGCTGGGACTGTAAATATATGTAAATGTGTATGTGTGTGTATGTTGGGTATGTGAGAGCTTCACGGCTAGCGCCAGCTGCTAGCGATGTGCATCCTCGGCGATTAACGGTGAATGCTACTAAACAGTTACACAGTTGCAGTACACAATTTAATATTGTCGCGGGAATTCGCTGTCACAGATTGTTGGTACAGTAAAGTATCGCTAGTATAGAAACTTACCTTTACCCGTTATTATAGCAATATATTATAGTATATAGAGATTACATAACGTAAATATTACATTATAAAATACTTATTCAGATTCATAAAAGTTATTTTTCTTTTAACAGATTGTAGTATAATGATAAGATTAGCGAAGAGATTACAAATGTTTATTTACATATGTACATAAGTGTGTACATAATTATAAGCCTTTGTCTATTTAATAGCTTTTATATACACATATGGTGTTTGCTTGGCTAAAGTTAAGTTTACACACTATTTTCAAATATTTGCTTAGCAAGAATGTTAATTATATGTTAATATTCAATATTTTCTTTGGCTTCTCTTGAAGAATATATAAATATTTTCCCTATGACATTAATATTATTATATTGTAAAACTCTTTCGACAGGATCCGGCAATTGTTAATCAGAGACGCATTGGTAGCGGACGCCTATCTCATACAAGATGGTCTTTTAACAACAACAATAACAATAATAACAATGACTACAAGTCCATTCATTCATATAATAACAATCATCAGCCAAATTCCATGGGTAAATCTCACATGGGTGATATGAAATATCAGAATAACAGCAACTCAAGCAACATGACTGTTCTTAAGTTCTTCGATAATGGTGAGATTAGCAGTACGCAGTTGAATGGTACACAGCTACCGAATGGCCGTCCAAATACGCCCATAATGGGCATGTCCAATAATAGTCGTTCAGAGAACGAGAGCCTGAAATCGAATGAGTCTATCGAGGATCTGAGTCGAGCTAATGAGACTTCTGTCAAGCCAGTCAGGACAGGCTTCTTGTTCGTTTCCAAGTCGAAGTCACGCGATGCCGAAGAGCGTCACTATCGTCGCTACAGGAATCAAAATGAGGAACCGGAGTGGTTCAGCTGTGGACCCACCTCTAGGCTGGATACCATTGAGTTGTGTGGCTTCGATGAGGACGAGGAGAAAATGTTAAAAGAAGGGGCAATCGACTCGAATGGAGACTCCATAATGCAGAAGCACAAAGTAAGTGGGAAAGAGTTATTTGGGATTATGCATTAATGAACTCTGTTGTTTTATAGGTCGAGCCCAGTAAGTATAAATGGCAGCATCCTGATACAATTGGTCGCAATAGTAGCAGCAGCAGCAGCACCCACAGCAACGTCGGCGGCAAGTCAATTTCCAAGAGTGACAGTAATAATAATAGCAGTTCATTGGAGAACATGAACAAAATACACTCGGCTGAACATCATAAATATCAGCATCAACATCATCAGTCGCAACCGAAGGAAGAGAAACGTTACAACAATCGTTCGGTTCCGTTTGATAGGCTCAAGCACAGTCATAAGAGCTTTGATAACAATAGTTATGCACGCACCGACGGCAACCATCAGCAGCAACATAATCATCAGCATAAGCAGCAGCATCAACAGCAACACCAGCAGCAGGCGTCGAACAACAATAACAACAATAGCAATTCGAAATTTATGTCCTTCTTTGCACGCGATCGTCAGGATAAGAATGGCTCATCATCATCATTGAATGATTTCTTCAGGCAGGCCATGAGCCAGAGCAGCAGTAGCAACATTAGCAGCAATAACAATCACAACATTTGCAATCAGAATTTGGATCAGCCGAAGAGCTTGGGCTTTGTCAATCAAATGCCATCTGTTGATCAGCTGGAGGCCAAATGGCGTCGCAATTCGCTTGGCAATATGACCGATATTCCAGCAGCAACAGCGGCAGCAGCCGCTGCAGCAGTCGTTGCTGCCGCTGCCCATGCTGGCAACGACAACAACAATAACATCAATATTAACAATAATATCAAGCCGGCAGATAATTTCCAAAAGTTAATTGGAGCTCTGCATGGTGCCAAGCCGCAAATAGTGCCTCAGATGCCATCACAACAGAGCCAAATGGGAGCTGATGCCATTTCGAATTTCATCTTGCAGCAGCAGCAATATCAGCAGCAACAGCAGAAGCAACACGTGCTCATCCAACAGCAGCAGCAGCAGACTGCCTTCCTGGCTAGCCTGCAGCTTAAGGCCATACTGGGACGCGCAGATACGCAGCTTTTGCTACTGCGTCTAACCAAAGGTGAGTTCGATTTTAATCTATATTTTTTCATAAGAGTATTAATATGTTTTCGTTTGTTGTAGGTGAAATTTCCAAGCATGGCCTGCTGGTGCAGTTGGCCAATCCTCGTTTAACCACCATGGATCGCGAAGCCATAACTGCTGTACTTCAATTTACTAATACACAGCAGCAGCAACAGCAGCATCAGCAGCAGCTGGAGATGCTCTCGAGTACAGTGATTGCCAGTCAATTGCAGAATCTACACAATTTGGCTATAGTACAGCAGACACTCGCAGCGCGACAGCAGCAGCAGCAGCAACAGTTACAGCTGCAGCAATCACAGGTGCAGCCACAGCAACTGTCGCAAGAGGATCTGCAGGCGCATGCCAACACCATTATGCGCAATGCAGTCATGAAGCGTAAAATGGAGGAGCAAACCTCAAAGTTGCTCAACATGAATGTGGCGGCATCGGGCAAACAACAGCAGTTGCAGCAACAACAATCACGCTCCCAATTGCCGGCCATGCTTGGGGCGAGAGTTGGACGCCAGGACTCAACATCAAATGCACTGCTGAATGCGCTCATTGCTGGTAAAAGCCTACCAGCTGCTATTAACGGGAGCTTAGTGCCATCCCAGCAGCAGCAGCAACAACAACAGCAGTTGTCGACTAACCCACGACGTTTTGCCGAAGGCGCAAATTTTCAAATTGGGGAAATGGCCCAGCCGGTTGGACAATTTCTTTCTTATCAGCAACAACAGCAGCAGCAACAACAATATGCACAGCAACAAATTCTTAATCAACAAAATACTCAGAGCAACAACATCAATCTTAATTTAAATAACAATTTTAACAAACCTCAAAATCAACCACAACAGCCTGTGGCAATGCTGTCAGCTGGCAGCGGCGGAGGTAAGTCCGATGTTAATCTATAAATCAGTGTTTCCCTCCACACATATACATACATCTCTATATACGTTTTCTTTACCTAGCTAAATTGAAGGTGGTTTTACATTTTACAACCAAGGTTTTAATCGCTTGTTATATGATAGTAAAATGACGCTAATCTTTATCATATCCAATTTCTAGTTATATGATCAAAGCATTTTGTAAAGCTCCAATTACAGGGTATATTGTTATTCAACATGCCGTATGCTATTTATGGATAAATTTCTTGAATGCCTGAAAACACAAAAATCCCAAACTCACCTTATTCATATTCAATTGTGTATTCGGTATTATCAGGTTTTTTGTAATGTGGGTATATTGAGTTTGTGTAATGTCCGTTTGGATGTCTCTTCGCCTTGCAAAAATTAAGCATAAACTTAGGAAATATTTTTTTTTTTTTTTTTTTTTTGAATAGATTGCGCTGTCGGGTAGGCTTGGCAGCATTTTTTTTTTTACAAAAATTTGGGTTTTCAATATTCGATAATGGGTCAAAAACTTTTTTTTTTTTCCTCACGGTTAAATCTCTTGAGACGATATGTAATAATATAATTTTTTTTTTTTGCTTTGTACTGGAAAGTTTCTGTGTAAATCCCAGTTCTGGAGAAGTAAAATAGGTATTTTGTTCCCTATTTCCCGAATCTATTTGGCTTTGGCTGTTTTTATTTGTTCAATGAATTTCAAGTTTTTTGACAAGGTGCTAAACACGTTTTGGCCATTAAATTATTTAACTGTTCAAAAAATATTTAAGTGAAAGCACAAATACATATAATGTGGGCGACCTTTTTATATACATACATATTTACTTTTGGGTGAATAATATTATGAATATAATAAACATGAATCAGTGCTCGCAAAGTAGGGTAAACTAAGTGCAGTTAATTAATATTTGCAATGCTTTTCCATTTTATTTTATTTAATGTGACTCAATGGAATAAATATATAAAGAGGCAAATGGGTCTGTAGTATATGAAGCTCATTCTGATAATATTCCAAGATAAAGGCAGAGTGTATGTTGTTTTTGACATTATCAAAAAAGTCATATGGAGAATTTTTCATTAGTAAACCAATTTCAGTCTTATAGAAATATTCGTATTCTCATTATCAACAACAAACATTCTTGCTTATCAACTTCCTATCTAAACACGTTTCATAAAGATGAGAAATGTTGATTATAAACAAAGCTTTGTTTTGAAATACAATGCAAAGTTGGTTTAATTATTTATATATAATATAATTAACTTCATATTATAAATTAATGTAAATGGAATGAGTAAAGATTTCAAAGTTTTTTTTTTTTTTTTTTTTTTTTTTTTTAACAAAAGTAAGTAATGCTAAATAATTTTTTTTTTTCCCAGAACCAGTTTTTTATGCAACTCATGTTTATGTATATAATTTTTTTTTTTCATGTGTTAGGTATACATATTTGAGCAGATTTCAGTATAGCTTTTTTTTTTTTGGTATGAGATGATAAGACCTGTTAATACAATGGAATTTTTGTTTTTTTTTTTTGATAGATGAAATATGCAAGTTTAGCCAATAACTTGTTTATGACACAAATCGTTTCATCTTCGATCTTAAGTTTCTAATATGTCGAGGTTTGAAATATTTGCAATCGAGTAGAATTAACTGTCGAATACTCGCTCTCAGCTCGATTTGATATGTCCCAATGGCAGAAACAAGTATATCTGCTGCCTACTTCAAAATTACACGATCAAAATACACGATTATTTATTGTAATTGAGTATGTCAATTATATATTTGTTAGTCGAAATATGCCTTCCAAGACTCCTACAAAACTTAAACTTTAGCTACAATTTATCTTTAATAACGACCAATTCTTTGATTGTACAAAAATTATAAACCCCTATTTGCATATAAATCTTTTCTAATAGCAATTTGCTCACAACTTAGCAGTTAATTAGAATTTGCCATTTAATAGTTGAATGGATTTTTCTGAATTAATTGATGAACGACTTTTGTTTATGACGTACGTTAGTAAAGGCTAAAATTCTTGAGAATACGAATACGATTAGTTTCTTAAGGGGAAACTGTAGTTTACTTATGATAAATCTTTTCCAAATAACCTGAAATATACCATGAATAGGAGCCCATTAAGATATTTGCATATATAGACATTGATCTGAAACTTAATTAGGAATCGTGCATTGACTTTTCTAATTGTTATATGGTGTTAATGAGATCCCACACTCGTGAGTCATGTGGGGATTAATAAGTAGGTTTACATGCTTGTGAACTTTGCCTACTTATTTACACGTAAATATATATGTATGTGTATGTATGCATTTGCGCTCATACATCTTGAAGCGTAGTAAGGTGTGGAATTTCCATGACTTCTATAAGTCATTCGTGTATTAATTAGTTATACAAAGCTATTGACTGAAAACTTGTTGAAGTTGAAGAGTTGTTGTGAGTTGAAGATGCCGGTAATGTAAAACATTATAGGTAGAATCGAAAAGGTTTAGAATATTTTTGTTGTTATTAAATAATATATTAYTTATATTCTACAGCGAAGCTTAGTCCGGGTCGTTAAGCAATTCTGTATAATTTTCCTAGATTATGCTAGCCTTGCCCTCTTAATCAGTATAGTCTTCCCCAGTCATTATACTAAAATTTAGATTAAATACAAATATTTTGTGTTTATATTGGATTTTGTTTTCATATAATAATGGAACACATTTTTCCACAATGGAGCTAATCTACTCCGTATAATAAATAGGGCGCTTCAATTTATAAAAAATTCTGCATATTTTTATGATTTGTATAAGTACTATAGCTTTTGTTTATTATTTATGTCACTCTGTAATCAAATAAGCATATCAAGTGCGACGCTTTGTAGTAGTCGGTCTCGTTCTATTGTCTTAGCTTATTAGTAGGGTTGATGGACTTTGCCGGCGAACAGAATGTTGCCGGTTGCCTCCTCCTCGATGAAGAACACAAACGGGCGATTCACGTTGAACTCGACAATGGTCTGAGAGCCGCCGAATTTGTTTTCAATCTCGACGACGGTGGCGGCATAGGCTTCTGTGCCCTGCTCGTTGACATCGATGCCAGCCTTCTGCAGTATATCCGAGACTTTCACCTTGCCGGAGACATCGGCGCCGCGCGTGAGACCTGGCAGTGAAGCGGTCGTCTCGAAAATCTCACGTACGCCCAGCTGTTGGAGTGTTTCCTTGAAGCTGCGCTTGTAGTCAAAGTGGAATTTCGGCAGCGTCACCTTGACCTTGACCTCCTCCATGGCCCACTGGGCGCTCTTGACCTCGTCGTTTTCCAGAGCCTGCAGCAGCTCATTGATACCGTCCGTGGCATGCGGCAGCAGCACAAACATTGAATTCTTGCCCTTGTACGGCAGCCGCAGTATCTGTGCCCTCATCTTGTCTGAGTTGTGATAATAGAAATATTCCGTTTGCTCCATATACTGGACGCGCGTCTGGGCATTTTGCGTACGGAAAAAGGCACCCTCAAATGTGTGATAGAACTGACGACGCCACAGACCCTTAAAGTAGATAACGTTCGTCAGCAGCATTACGCATTCCTGAACAGTCTCCGGCGTGACCAGATTGTTTAGTCTTCCATCTGTGACATTGCTCGCCCACTCGTTGATGGCATAGGCCGCCGCCGGAGCATTGCCAAAGTCCAGAGCTTCGATATCGCCGTCGTAGAAGTGTTTCAAGGTGGCTGTGTACTTTTGCTGTGTCTCGATAAAGTTGTCCGTGAACAGTTTGGTTCGCACATTCAGTGTGTTGTACAGTTGATTCTCCTTTTTGAACGAGTTGAGGGTCTTGCGATAGAACTCGCGCACATTGTTCGCCGATCTGATGTCTGGCTGGGTGCTTATCAGCTCTTGTTGTGTCTTTGTATTGGTGCCCGATGCCTCCGAGAGCATCGCCAGAACCAATTTGATGGAGAACGGCGATATGATGACATTATTCTGCTGCTCCGTATCGTTCAGCAGCACCGCCTTCAGCAGCTGCCATGAGAAATTGTCATGTGAGTCGCTGCGAAAGGGCACAAATGTATCAATGTCATCATAGGATGCTGCAGGCAGCGGCAGCGCTGCGCTCACTCCACTTGGCACCTGATCGGTGCGCGTCTCGAATACGCCCGTCGGCGTTGTCGCAGTGGGTATGGAGTTGCCAGTGACATGATGCCTTGAGGCGCCTATTAACAGCATCAGCAATGGCAGCCAATAATTATGTGAACTTTTTATTAAGTTTGTGTACATTTTTTCTTTGATTTTTGTGTGTGTATACGCGTGTTTTCACTCCTTTTCGCAGCGGCGATAGCTATAGAATTGAGCTTAAAGAGCGACTTGGCGCTCAGCAGCAAAATGATGGAGAACCGTTTGGCGCACAGTTCCAACCGAGAGTGACTCAAAGCTCGCTGCGCGCAGGCCATTTTAAAAACCAGCTTACAGTTTAACATTGCTGTTGTTGTTGCTGTTATTTTTACTGCTGCTGCTGCGCGGCTACTGATTTTTCGCTCTATTGCTTTAAAGGGACTTCCACTCACGTCATTATCTCACGTCAGTTCGCGCTCTTTCCCTCTCTCTCTCTCTCTCACACTCTATCGTTCTCTCTGTGTCACTCGTTTTAACTGTTGATTGATATGTAAATATGAACAAGAATGCTAGAGTAAACGTTGACAGATAAGAGTCGCACGGTTCGAAAGGAAGTCCGCATAGTTTCCAATCGCGTCAATAATTTTAAATGAGAAAACCCCAATACTTAACAATTAATGAAGCAATGCTATTATTAGAATACGTCCGTCAAATTACATAACTGAGTGTGTTTTTGGTTTAAGTGCTTTACGCACAAATAATTTAACTGAAAGCTGATTGCTATGACACACAGTGGCATGTGGCAACGCTAAAAGAACAGTGTTGTTTACTTCTTTATATCAGCTGTTGTTTTAAGCACACTTTTGCGTTGATGTAACAGTCACCGGCAAATAGAAAAGAACAGAGTGGCTATATTTTATAAATTAAATTAATTTATTGTGCAATGCAAATACGTCGTCCTCGTGGTGTAACAGTACCACAGTTAATGGTTGTAACTGCAGTTGGTTTTCTAGGCGGTGTTTATATTTGGAAGCCACTTATATTGAGATTTAAGGACGAAAATCAAGCACAAAATAGCGAAACACCAACAACAGCAACACCAACACCAACAGCATCAACACCAGCAGTAACAACAACAAGTTCGACAAAGTGGGGGAGCATTTCTGAATTTATATATGTATTATATGACGAGTTATGTGTTACTATTTTCTCTTTCTTCTCAATTTGCAGATGAGCTTCATTAAACAATTTGCCTCAACGACTGTCGGTATGATGGCGGTGGCCATCGGCTCGACGATGGCCGTTTATTGCACTCACCGATTTTTTATTCAACCGTATCAGAGTAAGAAGCAGCGTTTGGAAGCCGAAGCCTGTGCGGAGTATATATTTCAACAGGAGTCCCAGAAGCGTTAAAGAGAGACCGAGTATGATGGGTTTCTGTTTCAGAATTTCATAACAATTTTCTATTTACGAACCTAATTGCATACATTTTTAAATAGTATAATAGAAAATAGACTTAAAACGGTATTCAAATTGTGTGGAAAGTTTTTTACAGATCCCCAACAATCAAGAGCCAGACTTTCAACTAGTAGTTCTTAAGGCTCACAGATGTTATTGTTAAAGCAAAAATATTTATCTTTAAGTTAATCAATCAAATGGAATTTTATTGGATGATTTATGAAATGAATTGAAATAAAATATAAATGAAACACTTAACTATATTCTGAGTATACACATATGTTTACAATATTGAAATAAAACAGTATAAAAACCGATTAGACAGATTATAAATTTGAAAAGATTTAAACATTTATCTTATTGATCCATAAAGCTCTAGAGCGCTGCGTTTTCGTAGCTGACGCGTTTGCTTGTGTTTTAGGGAATTCAACTTATCGCTGGGATAGAACTCCCATATCGAAAAGGATTCATCCACGCCAGCGGCGGCGAGCTTGGTGCCATCCGGACTCCACATCATGAAGATCGCGCCTCTATTATAATGGGTCAAAATATCCACAACACGATTCAGCGAGGACAGCACAAAGATCTCAAAGCAAGGACAGCCGTTTTCATCTGGAGAACAAATATGCTTAAGTTTATGAATGTTATTACCAACTTGATCTGTGTTGATCTAAACTTACCGCATTTATAGATATTAACCAGCAATTCGCCCGTGATCTTGCTAAATGTAATTGAATTGATTAGGATCTTATCGTCGCCTCTCTGATAAAACGAAACAATTTCCCGACGCGGCACATTGAATATGTAAATTGATGAAAGTTTCTTTTCAGCTGTAAAATTGAAAAGTTGCTGCTTAATATATAAAAAGTTTTGGAAATTTCGGAATCTTCAGCTGCTCACAAATGGCCAGTTCGGCGGCCTGCCATGGATGCCAGTCGAAGACGATGCCGCCCTGCTTGGCGCCCAGACGCATAATCACTTTGTATGACACGCCGTGGAATATATATATCTGGCCCTGGATATCGGCTGTGGCCAAGTAGCGTCTCATCGGCGAGAAGCGCATGCAACAGATTCGTTTCGTATGCTGCCTCAGGACATGCTCGATGGTCATCGTTGAGAATTGTATGACCACAATTTGTCCGCTCATCGTGCCACAGAGAATCTCTTCGCCATCCTCACTCCACTCTATGCAGCAGATGGACTCGAAAGATCGAGGCAAATACTTGCCATTGGCAACCAGAAATTCCTTTGGTGATTGCAGCAGCCAAATCTCTAAAACTGAATGGTGGAAAGTTGTTAGCAGAAGAATTATAAACGTACAATTGAGCAGAGTATTGTTTGTATTGAAGTAAATTAATATTTATGTGGAAGGCATCTTTGACCGATTAGGAAATATGATTAACATCGTTTTTAGTTTATACTCATAATTGTTCTTCATTCATCTATTGTAATATTCACCTGGATTTTCACCATCCTTGCAGCCAATGGCTAAGTATTTGCCATTTGGTGAATATTTCAGTGAGCTCGTGCGTTCGACATTGAAAATCATGCTCGTATCATCTCGATTACGCCAGATAATTAGATTTTCGTCAAAGGACACGGCCATCTGATCATTGACAGACCAGTCCATCATATTGAGATCTATGTTGGTGACGATGATATTATAAATTAGACTGGAGACTGGAGACTCTGATATCGTTAGTATTACCAAATGTCGTGCATAGCGCAGGCATTTCGTTTGTGGTTGTGGCAAATGCTACGGGCCGGGCTCTTGGCTTACAGAACCAATCGCTGTCCGTCTTCTGCCTTCCCGTCCGGGAGTATTTGCACTGCACATCGCTGAATTGCAGCAATCGATTCTCTTCGATGTTGAGCACTTTATTCATGGTCGTAACAAAGTTGCTCTGACGCCAATAACTCGATCTCTGTGTGAGACTCTAAGAGGCATCAATTTTATAATAGATATGTGTTATATATAGAGGTAATATATTACCATTTGCAAGAGATCCTGCTCTTTAGTCTTACCCACATATTTGAGATTGTAATTTATGGCTTCTGGCTTGAAACGCCTTGGTATAAATCGATCGCCAAATGTAAATTCCTGTCTGTTGTTGATTTGTTTATTCTAATTGATTGCATTATATATTAGTTAACTTTTACTTTTGTTTTGATTTAGTTGTTTTTCCACCTGATAAACTTCATTTCGCCAATCCATGCGGCGCTGTTTCATAAAGGGCGGCGCCAAGTTTGGGTCCATCAAAGGATTCTTATTAAAACTTTCACACACATCCATATCGAAGACTAACATTGAACTAATTTCAAATTATTATCCACGCCATATTTATTTATTGATTCGTTTGAGTCTACGGTTTCTGTAAAGCTTTACTTAAATAACTGTAATTGCGCTCTCACTCTAGACCTTTGGCTCTCAACTGGAGTGAGCATAGAAGAACAGCGTTAATATACTCATTGTCTCTTGTATTCCCTTTTTGTCACATTCAGGGTATGCTAGACTACCAATATACTTCGTATATATTATATATATAAAATTCTAAAGTATATGTATGTATAGATTTGTATTTGTCATAAAAGTCTCCACAGCTGCTTCGGGTGGGAGTTAGAGAGACCGATTTAAGGTCAAGCCTGGGCTGCGCTGCCTCTGTCGATTTCATGGGCTCAGAGCTGTGCTCAAGACTCGAACTCAATATCGAGTGGGCATCAGAGGTCCCTATATAAGGTCAAGCCAGGTAAGCGCAGCTTCAGTCGATTTCCTGCTTACTTGGTGTGCGGACGTGTAGTGCTGCTCTTCTCCTTCGGGACAAGTAGTAATTATTTAAATAGTCAGTAATAGTAATTTGTAATATTTATATTCATAGTTATAAGGAGTTCTTTAATAACAATTGTCACTAGTCGATAACTATAATTATATTATCATTACGTAAATAGTTAATAGGACAACAATTTTATTTAATATAATTGCTTTACATTTCACTTTCTGTTCTCTATTCTTAAAATATATTATATATCCAATTAATTTAATTTTATTTATTTTAAAAGATTTGGCTACAGGCGTTTTAAAATACTTTCAGCATACGCCAAATACATAGTTGCTAATTCTTATAATTTTTATTGACTAAGTCGCGTGGACCACTTGTTGCCACAGGTTGGGCAGTTGGAGCGGGTACGTAAATACTTTCGTATGCAAAGTCTGTGGATTTTAGTGTTACAATCTGAGCATTTGACGTCCCAGAGCACCAGCTGCTTGCAGAGGGCACATTCCTTGATCGTGTCCGCAAAGTTAGAGCGCAAATAAAACTCGAACTCGACGATGCTGCGTGGACCCAGATAGAGTCTGTCGCCCGACTCCAAGAAGTAACCCATTTCGGTCCATAGTTGGAGCAGCGTTTGCATGCGCAGCTTCTTAGGCGGCTTCGTTGAGCCCTTGAAATCCAAGTCAGAGTACGCCTCGTTCCAGGCTATGTGGCAGTCCTCCTGTTGGGCAAGTTTTTCCAAAAGAATGGAAAAATAGAAACATTCTTCTGCTGTCAGACCCGGATGATTTTGTTTATCAGGAGTTGCATCAGTGATGGCAAATACCAAATACTCTTTGCCCGTCACAGGATGAAGCATAAAGGTCAACGATTGATTAAGATCTTTTATCGTATTTTCGATACTCTTTGCGAATTCGTGCAGAGCCTCCTCATTCGCGGGTTTTGTCACTTGATGCTGATCGCAGAGCGGTGTTAATATCTTATTAATTTGATCATGATCAAGACAGCTGTGATTTATACAAGCACGTAAAAATGTCCGTTTTACAATTTCCATGCTATCTTTAAGTAATTAATAATTTTGACTTGGGTAAACAAACCAGTTTGATAAAATGCAGAATTGTAAGTTGGGCAAAATAAATCGAAGCGCCTAACCAGGGCTGCAGTGATAGCTACCTGTGGCATACTTTGATTTATATCTATATGAGCCAACTCTTACATTAAATGAAATAAACCCATTATTTAAATATTTAAGAAATGCATTAACTTATTCTTCTTTGTCAAAGTAATTTAGAATTTAAGTAAGCCATGATTCGATAATTAAATTGTCGATTGATTGCCAGCTGAATAACACAGTAATTCAGCAATTATCGATTACTTTCTGCAGCCACACTTGTAGGCGGAATGTTTAAAAAGCAAATTTGTTCAAAAATGTATCATGTTGAGTTGGTATTCACGAATAAAAACAATTGTTCGGTAGTCTTCAATTTTTATTGATTTCAAACTTATAAATAATAGCACAACAATTCATATTATCAATGTCTATAAGAGCTTTGCTTTAATTAAAATAATATAGTATGTATAGAAAGAGTTAAATAGTCAGAGAATATTAAATTTGAAAACCGAATATCCTAAGTTTTTTAATGCACTTTAATCGTGCGTATTAAGTATTAAATATACATGAATAAAATATATATTAATAAATTGCAAGATTTTGTATAATTTGAAAACGCCATTACATATCTAAAGCAATTTTAAATATATTTATTTACACTAATTATTGTTCGGCAATTTTGAAAGCATTTTCTATTTCAATATAATTTT